CTTTCAAAACTGAAACAAATACCAACTGTGTCAACTTTGAGATGCTTATTCCTCACAGAATCTTGTTTTTTATGCTGCTGTCTATGCCTTACAGAACAAAGCTTGTGAAACTGGATGGAGAGGAGAGACAGACGTGTGGGGACAGGAGGGGAGGGGAGGTGGGGAGCTGAGGGATGGAGGACGTATGTGTGAAGAGAGAATTTGTTTTGGTCTGAAAATCGCAAAGATACGAGATATTCTCTTTAAATATTATTCCCTGGGATACTGTTGGTGACTGGTTGATGCAGTTACAGCATATGAATCAAAGGAGCATGTTTTTAAATACTAAGAGCAGCAGGTGTTTCTTCTTAGTGTAGTGATAAAGAAGCCATCAATCTAACACCTGTTTTGATTAAGTGTTGATCTGCTGTCAAGAAAATGAAAAATGTTCTTGTTCAGTAAATTCAACTTGTGATGAACGGTGGCTTTCATCACTAAGTGAAAATTCGATTTCAAAGTTTCCACTCATGTGTCATAACGAAGGCCGCTGATGACAGTTGGATTGCCATTGAAAAGCTTTTAATATGAAACAGCAGCACATGTTGTGTTTACCTGGTTGGGACATAAGGAGGTTGACAAAAGCAAGACTGTGGCATGGATTAAACATGTAAAAGCTGTGAATCCCCCGTGCCTGTCTCTGCAATTTATATCCAGAATACACCAATTATTACAAACAAGAGTTACGCCTCCTCTCCTCTCCTCTCCTCTCCTCTCCTCTCCTCTCCTCTCCTCTCCTCTCCCCTCCTTTCCTCTCCTCTCCTCTCCTCTCCTCCTCTCCTCTCCTCTTCTCTCCCCTCCTTTCCTCTCCTCTCCTCTCCTCTCCTCATCCTAGCATGAAAGTATTTACCTTGATACAAACACATGCAACAAATACACATGAACAACTGAACACCTGTCAGCTTGATTACAGTAAAATCAGAGCCAATGCTTTTCTCAGGTGTGTGTTTTTGCATGATAATAGTTTACATATGCACAGTTTGTGTGTCTGCACATGCATGCGTGCATTTGAATTACATACATGTCTGCATGCGTTCATGCAAAAGAAAAACATGAGCATCATTGTCGATCTAGAGAAAAGTCAGAACAGGTCATGGTGTGTGTGTGTGCAATCTGTCAGATTGATTTATGTCCTACAAGGAAAAGGCTTGGGGAAATACGGAACACACACACACATGCACAGGCGCACACTTACTGTAGATACATGCACTCATATATGCACAAACCATTTACAAGGTTTTGGAACGGTAGAAACTAAAATCAATACAATAAGAGGTGCAACTGTTCATCATATGTTTTGCACAATAAGCACCAGCTTGCCCTATTTATCCATGTTACACTGAAATCTGTGACAATTAAGACTAATCCTAAAGTCAGCGTCCTTCCTCCAGGATGCATCAATTATAAAGATAAGGACCTGTTCAATCTCCTTATAGTGTTTTATAATTCTGTTTGACTTCATTATGAGGAGTCTGTGTATCGCCTCCTGCATATGCTCCTATTTATCCTTTCACAGGGAAATTGCCTTTTTTTTTTTTCAGGTGATATTCTCAACCTTTCTGTATTCATTTACTTTCTGTCACGCAGCCTTGCACTTTATTTTCAAAGGGTTGCACTTAAGTCAGTGCTGAAAATTAAAGACCTTCTTGACTCAGCGCAAAAGGCTAATAGCTTTTTTTTTGTGTGCATAAAATGATGTATGGAAATTCTTAACACCTGACACAAAAGTGAGCTCTTAAGCTGAAATTCAGCCACAGCTGCATGTTCAACCTGAGCCTTTTAATTCTGTATTCAGCCACTGTTCTGCTCACATTTAGCCTCCGATTCCAACAGTTTGAAATACTATCCAGAGAATGTGACAGAGGAACGCAAACTGTGGCTGAAAGTGAGGCTGATTGTTTACTATTTAGGATGGCATTAAACGAGCAATGATGGGTGGATAGATCAGAGGTGAAAGGAAAGCGAGCAGAGATTATGGAGTGGTGCTAGAGACGTGAAGTGGCGCGTAGGAAGAGAAAGGCGGAGGACGACAGGACATTAACTTACAGAGATGCTCGCACCAGAAGTGAGCCAGAGGTGAAGGAGCCATGGTGGAGAGGCTGAGAGGGCGGTGGAGAAGGAAAAGATGGGCAGGCGGGTGAAAGAAAAAGAGGAGAGAGAAAGAAGGCTCAGAGGTACTGGTGAGTCAGATGTTGAGGAAAAGAGGACATGGAGTCATTTGTGGGAGGTCGGGCAGATTAGTTTGTGTGTTGATTTTGCCTGGATGTGTGCACACTAGTTAAGTCTTTACACCATTTAGGAGGTAACTTTCCATTTTCAACATCAAAGTATGCGTACAGGTGTTTGGAGAACTTCTATGCACAAGCAAAAATCAGTTTAGAGCCTCAATGACATGACTTAAGTAATTTTCAGTTAACACATTAAAGCTGTTTGATTACCAGCTTCCTGCAGCCGCTCATCTTTCCTGCTTTAGGTTAGCAACTTGAGGGTTCATTAGTGACTTCTAGCACAACAAACCTTATTCTTTAACTGAACTGCTGATGGTTGAGTTGCTTTATGTGCCAGCTTTTTAGCGGGAAATAGAAAGAATGCAACAAAAAGGCAATATTTCATCATCACCATCTCTTCCTCCGTCTACTTCTTCTGCTCCTGCTGCTGCCTCAACTTTTCTTTCAACTCTCTGTCAACACTGAGTGACTCACAAGGCTATGGGCTGCAAGGCTCAGCCTCCGATTGCTCTTTTCATGTGACACCTGCATTATTATGTAATCCTGAGGTTCAGTCTGGAACAGAGGCCTCAATTTAAAAAAAAAAATCATCTTAGTTTAAAAGCCGTTATTATTTCATTCAGTTCAACCAATGCTCAAACTGTGCACATTCTTTGTGAGCGTGTGAAAAATTGAGTGACTAATTACAAAGTCAGGCACCCACAGAGGAGTTTTCACGGGGCTCCCCTTGACGCTTAATGGTGTGTTACGTGGCCAAAACGACTTTTGAAGAGGCTACTTAAGAGACTAGGGAAGGATTTTTTTTTTTGAAATATGTGAGACTTCAAAATTTCCCTCAGCACTCTTAACAGCAATCTCTAAGTCTAATTTCCGACCGTAATGGAGAAAAAAAGCGGGGTAGACCGAGGAAAAGGAGGGAAGCAGCAGCGGAGGAGAGATGGGATTGAGCATTGAAGTGACAGGTTGTTGTCAGAGTAGCGAGACCCTGGAAGATAGATGAAGACAGGGTCAGCAACTCCCTGCTAATGTCACGAATGATGACTAACTGTGTGTGGAGTGTGTGTGTGTGTGTGTGTTTGTGTGTGTGTGTGTGTGTGTGTGTGTGTGTGTGTGTGTGTGGAGTGTGTGCGTGTGGGAAGACGGGGTCAGCAATTTATCCCCCAAGGCTGACTAGTTTAGAGTATGTGTGAATGAGTATGCAAGTACAAGGTCAGCAACTTCTATACTACAAGGCTGACTGATACAGTTGGTGTGTGTGTGTGTGTGTGTGTGTGTGTGTGTGTGTGTGTGTGTGTGTGTACTTCCCGTGTTTGGTGCGTTTGCAGGGATTTGCCCTAACTCTGCGAGTTCAAACTGTTCCTCCTTGGTTTTTTTTATTTCTGTCTGTTTTCCTTCACAGCATATTAGCTCTGGTCCAACATAGCAGCCGCTTGGCTTCCTTGTAATGGAAACATGTTGCTGTTGTAGCCCTGCTCTCGACTGCTTGTTCTACACTCCCCAAATGTTTACTGATCAACACTGTATAGCTGTGTCGAATCTGCAGCAAAGTGCAGCTTTTACAGCTGGCTGCACACACTTGCAGTGGTGTGAACTGACTTTCTTTTAAAGAGGTACGCACAAGACACTTCATTATGGAGTCCATGATTTGCACAAAGGTACAGGGGATGCACCGATCGCCCCACTTAAAACGTTATAGTTTGCTGCAGACATTAGTGTTCACAGTGCAAAGAGACTGCCCCAAGTTTGAACGTATTATTGTGCACTTGCATCAAAAGATCCATGAGCAGCAGCAGCAGCAGCAGCAGCAACAAGGGACCTAGAAGATTCCTTTGCCCTGAGCTCCGCCTCCTCCATGGCTCAAAATGAAAAAATAACCCCACTAAAATTCTAACACTTACATAAAAAGGGAAGTATTTATGTTTTTGAGGGCTTGTGGGACTAAAGCCATGGGGCGCCCACCCCAACCACTGAGCCAACTCCAGTTACATTTTTTTAATGTATGCTATCATAACTGATTCTAAGAGTTTTCTGTTCATCTTTCAGGGATGAGAGTCCTGCCACTTGCTTTGCCTCGTGCTGTAAGAGTCAGTTTATAGCCTGTGTTGCTCTGGGAGATTCACGTCTTAAAGTCTGAATGGAAAACAACCCTTAAGTTCTGAAGTACACATACATTACAAATAGAGTACAAATGTGTTTGTACCGTCTGCTCTGTGGTCCAGAAAAAAAAGAAGAAAAGAGGTTGCTATTGACTTCTCTACACCCCACATTTAAAATAAGAGGTGATTGATTTTTGAGGAGCTCAGGCCAGCTTCATCCACCTCAGTGTTATTACAGACCTTTATTATTTTAACTTTATTACAATCGATGGCTGCAAGCGTATCATTATTAACATCATAAATACAGGCTCTTTTTCAGACTGGCTTTTTTGTAATGACCTACATTTATTGCTGTTGTTTCGTTTTGATTTGTTTTTAATCTACCATAAAGCTACCTCTATTGAGTTCACTTAAAATGAAGAAAGTCGTCGCCGTTAGCCACCAGACCACACAGCTGTGGATTCATTTAAACTTTTATCATTTTCTACACGCTTCAATTAAAGGCACTTGAGCTGAGATGAAACAACAGAAGGTGTTTTTATAGCCAATAGAAGTAATAAATGAGTAATTCAACGGCCTGGTGGGATTGAAGGGTTGACTAACAGCTTGATCTTTCTTCCCTGTCTCTGTGTACCTCCAGGATTTGGCCGTTCCACTCCACACGGGCCGAGTAGAAACCAGTAGAGTCCAGTGAAGGACCTGCAGCAGCAGCAGCAGCAGCAGCAGCAGCGGAAATGGCTCCAGCAGCCATGTCCCTGCCTCCATCCTCGCTCACCTCTCGCCCCCACTTCCGCCTCTCTTCATCCCTCTTCTTCTTCTTCTCCTGCTTTCTCCTCCTATCATGTCCTGGATCCGTCCGTGCAGGTGCGCCTGAGAGCAACTGCTCGGCTAGTGGAGACCCGTGTCAGGAAGGTGAGCAAACTGGCCTTTTAATTGCATGAATGAAAGGAGGGATTACGATGAATACACAGGATTAATGTCTTACTATTAACCCTTCAGTACGTGTGGCTTATTGAATAATTAAGTAATGACAGGGTTAAGAAGACTAATGTTTGGTAATCTGTGTAAGCTATTAATATCACAGCGGTTTATGAAAGCTCAACAAAATGACGTTAAAGTTCATCTTTGATACACAGCAGATTTCTGCAGGCCGTTTCGAGGAGCCGCTCAAACTTTCCTGCACTTTTTAATTGGCTCATTTACAGAACTTATTTATTAAGAGGCTTGCACAATGGATTAAATGTAAGAACCAATAAGTAATCATGTGCATTATGATTGATTGCTATGTCTGTGCCATAATGGAGGCCCGTGGATGCATTGAATCAATGGCTTAACTGCATTTATATAGCTATAAGCGTCCCCATGGTTACTATCCTGTAGATATAATAGACAAATCTCTATTGAAGTGGTGTTATTATCCATCCAGGATATATGGAGCCATTATACCATATACAAATAGACTATAATAACTTCATATTCGGCCATTTGGGGCAATTATTCACATTGTGGGAGCACTTATCTTCTTTGAAAGCTGCTAAATCGCCATGTTATGCTATTCCTATGGTGACTATATAAACCACATCTCATTTTTCTACCCTATCATATCATATGATAATATAGCTAGCTGCTCAGTATCCATGGTTTACATCTCATATGGGACCATTTTTGCAAGCGTTATTCTCGGCTGCCCATCCCGGGGCTCTGCAAAGAACAGGACAGAAATTGATATGCCCGTTGCCAGGCGCTAACGCACTGGTTTAAGTTAAACAATGTCAGCAGCATATTCATCATGCTACCACACCAGGGTGGCCAAAGCAATTAAAGGCGACAGTGTTTCATTGCCTCCGAGCGAACTGGTTGAGTTATCGTCTGCCGGTGCCAACGTGCTGTCCCGAACCCAGAATGCATCGATCCATTTCATTAAGTTTGAGCAGGACAAGTGGGACCGTATGGAAAATCTCCCACTTATTAAAACCTTTAATCAGGTTGTACTGCCAAATCATTTTTTTTATTTTTTTTTTATTTTTTTTTAGAGACATTTTTGAGTGCTTCTTGTGATTCTTCGCTGCAGCATTTTGTTTAATTTTCTGTTTTTCATTTGTTTCAGGAGTGGTACTGCCCGTGTGGAACCCTCAGAACCCCTCCGTGGGGGACAAAGTGGCGAGGGCCATTGTGTACTTTGTGGCCCTCATCTACATGTTTCTGGGCATGAGCATTATAGCCGATCGTTTTATGTCGTCTATAGAGGTAGGCGCCTGATAAGTAACCAAAGAGTTATCTTACTATCAAGATGTTTTTCTTCATTTTTTCCCCTGCGTCCCCTTTCCCCTTTCTTTCTTTTTCTTGGTTTTCTTTGTTGTATCTTCTCTTTGGCTCTATACCTTTAATGCTTTTATCCCCTTTGGTTTCCACTTTCATGAAATTGTTGTTGCTCGTTGTCGGCCTTTCCTTAAAAACTCTCCATTTCTTTCCATACTTTCTCCTCTTCTCCTTTCCAGGTCATAACTTCCCAGGAGAAGGAAATCACAATAAAGAGGCCGAATGGTGAGACCACCACGGCCACGGTCAGGATCTGGAATGAGACTGTTTCTAATCTCACTCTAATGGCCTTAGGTTCCAGTGCCCCTGAGATCCTGCTGTCTGTTATTGAGGTGAGTACAATATGAGCCTGGGTGGTTTCACATTAGATTAACTGATACAAAAAAGTAATGGGAACACCATAATCCGATTATCACCCCTCCTTTAGGTGTGTGGCCACAATTTCGAGGCCGGCTCTCTGGGTCCCAGCACAATCGTGGGCAGCGCTGCCTTCAACATGTTTGTCATCATCGCCCTGTGTGTGTACGTCGTTCCCGATGGTGAGACGCGCAAAATCAAACACCTTCGAGTGTTTTTCGTCACAGCGGCTTGGAGTATCTTCGCCTACATTTGGCTGTACCTGATTCTGAGTGTCTTCTCCCCTGGAGAGGTGGAGGTAAGGATAAACAGACATTCAATCTGAAAAAGGAGGAGAGATTGTGCAAGAGGAATTGAGGTTGAAAAAGGAGAGAACACATTGAGGGGGACGTTGACTGTGTCTCCTCTCTTCTCTATAGGTATGGGAGGCGGTCCTGACCTTCCTCTTCTTCCCCCTCTGCGTGGTCCAGGCCTGGGTGGCCGACCGCCGCCTCCTCTTTTACAAATACGTCCGCAAGCGCTACCGTGCCGACAAGCACCGGGGCATCATCATCGAGACTGAGGGAGTGGCGGATGGAGGGCTAGGAGGTATCGATGGAGGAGGCGGAGGAGCCCTCGGTCCGGGGGGTTTCACCAAGATGGACATGCTCGAGCTCGACGGGCAGATGGCGTTGAACTGTCACAGCGGGCTGGACGGAGGGTTGATGGAGGAGGGAGGAGCCAAGGATGAAGAGGATGAGGCCAGAAGGGATATGGCGAGGACACTGAAGGACCTAAAGCAGAGGCACCCGGATAAAGACATGGAGCAACTGATTGAGATGGCTAACTATCAGGTTAGGAGGAGTCACATTATATTAGCTTTGTACTTTAAACAGTAGCATAGTGGAGTAGTATACTATAGTACAGTAAAGTATATTAAATAGTGTAGTAAAGAAGGCTATAATATCTAGTATTTATTTATTTTAAGTGAGTCATGGTTGAAACATGCTAAAAAGAAACAGCTGTTTGTTGAGTATGAACTGGAAGGTGACTCGCTTATATTAAGACTGAAAGCAGGCGCAACTTGCCAGCTCAGCATTGTCTTAAGTTTGAAGCTCAATCAATCACACTCCGGTTGTTCAATAAAGTTTAAGAAAGAATTCACAGCTGTTTCGTAGAGAAAACGCAGTGACCCACTGGATTTGCTGTGGCGCGTTTGCTAAAATATAGCTAGCAACGCGATACTCCCTCTAAAGCCTGTATCATCATATTTCTGTTTGTGCATGGTTAAAAAAAAAGAAGAGCTTTAGAGGTGATAATGAGCTTATTTCTAGCGTTCAGAGAGAGGATTGTGTGTTCGATAGATTTCCTCTGCTTTCATTTTTTTATGCTAGCGTAAGCTAATCCCTTCCTCTGTACATAACTCAAAGACATGAAAATGGTATTAACTTCTTAGCGAATGCTCTTTAAATAGAAAAAAATATATTTTTATCCAAAAAAAAGAATGAAATAAGGACATTAATGTGTATTAGTTTGGTCATCCTTTGAAAAATAATCTCTACATTTGTATAAATATGACGCCTGTAAGCAGCTGCTCTCACATCGTTCACCTTGTTCGCTCTTCATCTTCTCTGTCTTGACTTTTGTTTCCTCAAAGTTTAGTTCTTTTCTCAGCTTGTGAGTAAAAAAAAAAAAAAGAAGCCCTTTGCATCTTACAAAATGATAGAGTGGAGAACGTAGCATCGTGCATCACATTTGGTATGCGTCTCCTCTTGAGGGTGACTTTGTGTTGGAGGTGACGCTGTGACAAATTTAGATGTGAACCAGGTGTCTTATGGGTGAGAGCCGGCACGGCAGCAAACAGCTGTTACACAGAAAAGTTTTTGAAATGTTCAAAGAGTGACTTCTGAACCATATTGTGCTTCTAAACTTACTTAAAATGAACCTCCTTGTTCATCAAACACAGCTATGCACACACACTGAATATAAACAAGTGAAGTGAAGTGTTGGCTGCGGGTCAGATGAACACACACACACACACACACACAGTAAAATATATTCTGAAGGGCAACCCTCATGTTATGTCATGTGCTGATGAACCAATAGTCTGCAGTGAGGATGGTGCCAGTCGGCTTCATTGACAGCACTGTAATGTGCAGCCCGCCTGCCATCCAAGTCATATTTTGCCCGGTAAGTTCCATGAATGTTACAAAAGTAAAACCCGAAACGTAATCCCTGATCTTGGTGGATGTAAATCGACAAAAAATTTGCAATACAAGGTCCACTTGTGACCCACTTTTTCTATGAGCCTTCAGCTTTTAGAGTTAGCTATGTTCAAGCCGTGTCTTTGGGCTCTTTGGTCAAAGGCTCTTCCAAAAGCTTGCAAGTGGACCTTGAGTTAAGGTTTTTTGGGGAAGTTAGGTTGTTAATTGTTACGGAGTGTGTTTATGAGCTATTGAAAGTACTGTAAGTGCTTAATTTAACCTTCAGTTAAATTTGGCTTTAGTTTAGTATTTGGTTGTCGTGGCCTCTCACAGAGACTAGATTCCCAGGTGTCCCTCGCGAAGAGAAAAACGGTTAAGCATCAAACTGTTGAAGCCTCCCTTTCGCCGCTCCCCTTCTTTCTTACCTTGTCTCCTCTTCGAGACATTTCTTCTTCAATCTTTAATCTGATTTTTAAAAGCAGGGAAGGAAGCGTGTTTGGCAGGCTCCCCGAGGTGCACTGGGCACGCTCCCAGATGTTTGTTTGCACTCAGGCCTCCATGTCCCCGCGGCTCCTCCCTTCAGCATCGTGCTGTAAATAAGAACGACAGATGCACTGGAGATTAAACTGCCCTGGATAAATTAAGGGTCTTGAGTTGTAATGAACCATTAATTAAAAACTAAACAGTGGTCCTCTTGGAATTTGGACTTTTATTAAGTTAAGCCAAGTTTCTCTGGAGGAAAAAAAAAAACAGATTAAGTTTAAGTAAACAAACAATTACAGATTCCATCCCTCCGAAGAGGGAAAAAGCTGACTCACTTCCCACTTATGTGAATAAATCACAGCATTCCCAGCTGCAAGGCCACTTTTAATCTAATGATCGCTACAATATGTTGGCCAAATTATTTGTTTCTGGCTCGTTGGGGTATTTAATTTCTTTTAACAAAAAAAATTCAGAAAAGTTAATCTTATAGATTGATCAAGCGCATCAGATTTGTAGTTTAGAGAAGGAAAACCAACTACAATCTAAAGCGTTATGAAGATGTTTTTTTTTACTTATGAATAGATATATATAATGGCAAACAATTCAGTTTCAGTGTGATTCCACTTAGACATACTCCTCGTCGCAGCGTCCGTGGGTTCTAATCCAAACTCGGCCCTTTGCCGCATCTCATCGCCCACTCTCTCCTCTTGTGTTGTAGTCAAGACCACACTAACCGAGACCAAGACATACCTTAGACCAGAGTGCTCAGAGACCGACACAAGACCAAGACAATTGGGGATCGAGACCGAGTCAAGATCAAGATCAAGACCAAGGCAGGGCGAGACCGAGTCAAGACTAAGACCATAAATATCAATGAAGAATCATCGTCTTGTGTGCGGCTGTCACTCACTTAGGCTCTAACACAAGGAAGGTTGCTATGGGGATAAAAATCTAATTATGAATGAATTGAAGTTATTTGTTATTTTAGAAAGAGGCGTTTCCCTTCTAATCACATTAATTACTTGGGAAAATAGCTCAACAGTGGAGGTCTTGACTGGTCTAGGTTTTGACTGGTCTAGATTTAAAATTAAGAGTACGCCCAGCCTGAAACCGAGACAAGACCGATTGAAAATGCTTTCTATTCCGAGACGAGACCAAACAACTTCAAAAAGTGGTTCAACAGTCGTGAGACCAAGACCGATTTTGAGTACTACAACACTCACCCACTCTCCTCCCAACATTTCCTGTCTCTCTTCAGCTGTCCTATCCAATAAAGGCAAAAAAAAAAATGGCCCAAAAAATTCAACTTATAAAGAAAAGCATCAATATGAACACCTTACAGAGCATGAACAAGGCTCTTAAAACACCTCAATTTAGGTTGTGGATAAATTAGACTTTTAATTGGTTGGTTTTTGTTATATAGGTCTTGATGCAGCAGCAGAAGAGCAGAGCCTTCTACCGTATCCAGGCAACCAGGATGATGATCGGAGCTGGAAACATTCTCAAGAAGCACGCTGCTGACCAGGCTCGCAAGGTGAGAAGCAGTTTCCCCCTTAAAACCGTCGCACCTGTTGCTCACAGCACAGAAAACTCACTAGCCTCTGTAATGACACTTTCCCCCCCCCCCTCCCCATCCATTCTTCCAGGTGGTGAGCAGCCATGAGACCCAGGCCCAAGAGGACGACCCTCACACCATCAGGATGGACTTTGAACCCCCTTTGTACCAGTGCTTTGAGAACTGTGGCTCCTTGAAACTGACTGTTGCCAGACATGGAGGAGACCCCGGAGTTACTGTCAAAGTTAGTGTTCATGTTTTCATGTGTGTGTGTGTGTCAGGGATTAATGAAAGGCTCGAGGGTCGCTAAGAAGAAGAGCTGTGTGTGCATAGAAAGGTTTGAGTGAGTCTGAGGGAGGGAAGCCAAAAGATGTAGACAGGAGCAGACACCAGAGAAAACAAAATCGACTTTGAACTGATTTCAATCACAGTTCTGGCAGCTTTCCAGTTCTCGGTCTGATCTTTCCCATATAGCATGCTCTCACTCTTGAGGCTTTGAACATCCTTGTTTTTTCTTTTCTGGTCAGAGGCTTGTACAGGATAGAAGGGAGATCTGGTAGACACAACAACACAACAGTTTCTTTTGATATGTGTTTTTAGCTTTACGCTCAGGCTGTAACTCATAGAAGAAGAAGAAATAACATCGTTTTGCAGAGGCTCATTGGTCCTTGGCTTGACGCTGGCCTGATACTCTGAATAAGAGATTTTATTTTGAGTCTCAAACCGAGAGTCTGTGTCTGTCTGTGGAGCTCCCTATCACAACAGGGGCTTTGCGTTTCTTCTTCTTGTGTACACATGAAACTACCATGCAACATCAGTGCTGTCTGACGGCATCGGCCTCAGTCTGCCGTCTACTGAAGGCGGATTTTGTCAAGTGAAGTGGCCTATTTAACCCACACAAAGGCTCGTCAGGCCCGGTGTCTGAGCAGCACTTTAGAGAAGAAAAACTGATTATCTTGAGCATAGAGGGCTTTCCACTTCTTGATGACACACTTGTAACAGCACAATTGTTCTATTCTCAGTCCCTGACTGCAAGCCTTTGTCAGCCTTTTATACTCCCTGAAAAACTTCCAAAAGCACAAAGCAGTTAATTCCTGAAAAGGTTTGGCAACTTTAGCACCGAAGAGTCAATAAAAACCAACTAACAAGAAGTCGTCTACATTTATGAGCCAGCCTGGAAACAAGGTGCAAATGCAACACATTATTTTATAAGCTAATATGGCTAACTTGTTAGAAAACAATTATTACACATCCTGCAGATAAACGTAATCTTACATCCAAAGTGGCTTTTTGTCCAAGTTTATCTGTGTCTCTTCAGCTGCTCAATGCGCCACTACTTTTACAAGCTAAACCTGACTGGGTTTGTGTGTATGTTCATTTTACTGCTTTGCGTCCAAAACAGTTGCCTGCTTCACATGAACAAACGGCTAATGACATTGTGACAGTGAATCAGAGTTTCCGATTTTTAAAACCCAAAATAAAGAGCTAAATGCTAAAAAGACTGTCGGATGTGTAGAGTTGAAGCTAACGTCACAGTCCAGTGATAATTCAGTTGGTGTGAAAGTATAAAGTAGAGAAAGAAATGCTTGTGCTGACATGGCAATTTAAGCCATTTTTTTTATTTTTTTAACCTTAATTTAACCAAGTTGATCCCATTGAGATTAAGAACTGGTTTTCCAATGTAGACCCAGCTGAGACAGTCAGCAGCACAATCACAAAGTTACACACAGAGACACAAAGGGAGACGAAGGGCAATTTACAAAAGACTCAATTTTGCATAAAAACATCTTTGAATCAAATTTTTTAATCAAAAGAGTTTCTTGAGTTTATTTTCATACAAACTGTACAAGCACATAGAATAATTGACTTTAGAGGAATTTAAGAGTTTAAAGGTCCCATATTATGTTTTTTCTGGTTTTATTGCCCTTTAGTGTGTTTTCCAAGTGTCCTGTGCATGTTTAGGCACATCTATGTGCAAAAACTCAAAGTCCACGGAAACGTGGCTTCTCCTACGTCCTCCTGTTAGCTGTAGCATTAGCCGCATGTAACGCTCGGTTCTAGCCCCCCTCGATAAAAATGTGTCAGTGCGGCGTCATTGTCAGTCTGAGATCACTGATCTAAGCCCATTGGCTCGTTGTGGCAAGCCCTGCAGCTCATGTTGAAATTTCCGAGAAGCGTGCTGAGCAACTGACCAATAACGACAGAGCGGATCGGCAGACCAATCAGAGCAGACTTGGCCCACGTGGGGTCTAACAGTGTGGGCTCAACAGAGTGCAGCTGACGGACTCAGAGCGTAGAGGGAGCAAGGAGGAGCAGTACATGAAAACAGACACTTTTTTCAACTTTACCTATTGTGAACGTACAAAAGTAGGAACATAGATTAAATATACGAACCCCAAAAAGGGCAGAACATGGGCTCTTTAAGGTCACGCTCTTTAGTTTTCTATTCATTTATAACTAACATTAAAACAGTTTTTTTTCTGTTTTTTTAATAACAGCAAGATATTTATGTTCTCATGAAACTCTAATGTCTATTTGTAAATATTAAAAGCAGCATCTGAGTGATTGTGAAGCATTGGTATTCAGGAGTCCCAGCATCGTGAGCCTCTGTGATGGATGCATTGAAAAGTAAATTTAGAGCTCTGTCACTCATAAACATTTCATCCAGAGTTATAAATAGAGCTGAGCTCAGAATAAAGCTACAATAGCACCACCAACACTTGAGTCACAGATCCAGCTTTGCCTACAAAACAGCAACGGATTATTTGGAAATACAGATTTTATTTTTTTTCCTCTTTCATAGCAGCTGAAAGAATATGTTTGCTTTAAGGAAATAAAGGTGATTATGTTAGCTGCCTTTGAACAGGATGGATAGTGTTAATAAACAGGCCAGATGGAGAGAGAGAGAGGAGGAGAAGAAGAAGAAGAGGAGGATACAGGGGAAGTTTTGTTGTACTATCTTCAAAGTCTTTATTATCAGACTGTATCTGACCAGAGGGCTCAGTTTAATGAAGCTGTTTCTCTTGTTTTCTCTCACCCTCTGTTCTCTTCTCCCCAAATGCCTCTCCTCCATTTTTCTTCTCCTCTCTCTCTCTCTCTCTCTCCCTCTTCTCCTCTGTGCTCTCTATTCTTCCTCTCCCTTTGTGCTTATCTACCCTTTTCGTATCTGTTCCCTTTCTGTTTCATCTTTGACGGCTCTCTTCGGTCCCTCTCTCCCTCGTCTCACCCCACTTCTCTGTCCTCATGTCTCTCTCCCCCCCTCCCCCCTCCCCCCAGGTGGATTATCGCACAGAGGACGGTACAGCGAACGCAGGTTCGGATTACGAGTTTGCCGAGGGAACGCTGGTTTTTAAGCCCGGAGAGACCCTCAAAGGTAAAAATGACAGTGACAGTTACAATTCATGACACATTTTTCAAAATGAGTGTCGTTGAGGAAGTAGAGGTCTTCCAGTTACTGCCCCCCCCCCGCAGCTTCAACATCAACTTGCGTAAATATTGGTGCTGTGAGTCTGTAACAAAAATCTTTAATTACAATAAATGCGTTCCTTTTGTCAGAGATCACGGTCGGAGTGATTGACGACGACATCTTTGAGGAGGATGAGTATTTCTACGTCCACCTGAGTAACCCTCGGGTGGTTGGTTACCCGGAAATTGGCACCGCCCCGTCGGATGCCAGCGTCACCCCGAAGGCGGTGCTGGGTGACAACCACACAGCCACCGTGACCATCTACGATGACGACCACGCAGGTAACAGGAACTCCTGAGACGAGACAATGCAACTGAAATGTTTTGTCTTAATTCATCCGTGACCTATAAGAACGAGTCGAGGATGTAGAGTTTGATGCAAACACAAGTCAAAGCTAGTTTCACTTTCTCATGTTAGTATTCACACAAAGACGCTCAATAAGGCGTTAACGCTAAATTCATTTGAATGCTTCTGCCACCTAGGAGTGAACCCAACTCATTTTTTGCAAGTCTCCATCAGCTTATCTCAGACTTGAGATTGATGATGTGAACATTTCCAGCCGTCACACTCTCAGTGTTTGAAGGCATAACATATTAATACGACAACTTTGTTGATATTCATTGTGGAGTCACGACTTCCTGAAAAGAAAGTGAAGTCAAACTCCCTCTTGATTGGTTGTTCTCGACTCTGTGTTCACATGGAAGGGGCGGAGCTTCCTTCAGTGAATGTGGGTTCTTCTTGACCTATGATACTGTATTACTGATCACCTTTTAAAGGGGTGTAGCCTTATTTAATTTCACCGTCTGTGATTCTGTCATAAATTTAACGACATGGATCTGATAGAAAATGTGTGCATCCTGCCAGCTTCATTTTGAATCCACATGACTCTGTTGCTTTGCTGCAGAGTCCCAGGATGACCCGGAAAAAAAAAAAACAATCATGAGAAGCTTGAAAGAGATCCAGCGGCCTTAATGTTGTTCAGTAACAAGAGTTTGATAACATCCAAAGAGAGTTAAGGGATGGAGGCTGAGTGGGCGTTTACCTAATGCTAATTATCTTTCATCTGGAGAGAGTGGGTGGTTATCTATTATCCCTTTCACTGTATACACGGCACACCTCAGAGAGCAAGAGTGAGAGCGTAGGTGTTCATCAACCATCATTTACATCTCTAGTTTTCATTATACTGTTTTTTGTTTTTAATACATCTTTCTTTCTTTCCTCCTCCTTCCTACCTTGCTTCCTTCCTTCTTTCCTTCTATTTCCTCCTTCTTTCTTTCTTTCTTTCCACCTCCTTCTTTCCTTGCTTCCTTCCTTCTTTCTTTCTATTTCCTCCTTCTTTCTTTCTTTCTTTCTTTCTTTCTTTCTCTCCTCCTTCCTTCCTTCTTTCTTTCTTTCCTCCGCCTTCCTTCCTTGCTTCCTTCCTTCTTTCTTTCTATTTCCTCCTTTATTTTTTCTTTCCTCCTCCTTCCTTACTCCCTTCCTTCCTTCCTTCCTTTTTTCTTCTTTCTTTCAATTTTCTCCTTCTTTCTTTCTTTCTTTCTTCATCCTCCTTTCTTTCTTTCTTTCTTTCTTCCTCGCTTTCTTCCTTCTTTCTTTTTTCCTCCTTCTTCCTTCCTTCCTTCTTTCTTCCTTTCCTTCCATCCTTCCCTCCTTCCTTCCACCTCTTTCTTTCCTTCAATTTCCTCCTTCCTTCCTTCCTTCCTCTTCTTTCTTTCTTCTTCAATTTCCTCCTTCCTTCCTTCTTCCTTCCTTTTTCTTTCTTTCTTTCCTTCCTTCCTTCCATCCTCTTTCTTTCTGTCTTTCCTTCCTTCCTTCCTTCCGTCCTCTTTCTTTCTGTCTTTCCTTCCTTCCTTCCTTCCGTCCTCTTTCTTTCTCTCCCAGGTATCTTCACCTTTGAGACTGCCAGTCAGAGGGTGAGTGAGAGCGTAGGCGTGATGGAGGTGAAGGTGCTGAGGACGTCGGGCGCTCGCGGCCTTGTAGCTGTCCCTTACAGAACTGTGGACGGCACTGCTAGAGGAGGAGATGACTACGAACTGGCCGCTGGCAAGCTTGAGTTTCAGAATGACGAGACCATGTAAGTACAAACATGTTGTCGTCTGAAACTGTTATATCACCACATTTAGAAAACTTTCGCCTTCATCAAAACCCAAAGCACTTTTTGGAGCTTTGCTTTTGACACAATGTGGTTTCTAATACACGGACACTACAACAGTCTAGTCCACTACAGGTGAGTGACACATCGTTTGATTACCAGCGACACGTTCCAGTTTCCTTTCAGAGTGACTGACTCTCACTCAGAACTGCTGTTCAGGTTAATTAGGTGTTAACATTCAGCCACTGTATAAATAGCTCTGTTAGGTAGATAACAGTGTAATATTGCCACTCTTCAAGGTAGGCTACTCTGCATTATTATGCTTGCACACACATATGCTCACACACACACACACACACACACACACTTGCTCTGGCGTCCTTGGGCACATGCATTTTTAATATGCTGATGTTAGCGGTGTTAAATTGACCAATACATAAAGCGTTTGGGAATGCAGTTTCCTCAGTGCCTCTTGGGGCCTATAAACCAAGGACCTCTGTGTATGTGTGTGTGGGAGAGTGTGTGTGGTGTTCAAGTAAATCTGTGAAAAGAGCAGTGTCAAAGTGAGGAAAATTGAGCTTCCTTCATTTTCTTCCAAGTGCTTGATTGCCAAGGTCAGTAATATTAATCAGGGCTTAAGTATTACAGAATAGGGCTAGTTAATGCTCTTATGCTAATGAGAATAGTTTGATTAACTATGAGTGTGAGTGTGGTTGTGTCACGGGGGGGGGGGGGGGAGCCCACTCTTGGCAAGGCCATTCAAAAGCTGTTTGTCTGTGGCTTGCCCATCGATAAAAAAGCGGGAAGATGGAGTGTGTGTCCACCTGTGTGTTTGTGCTCATGAACTTCTGTCCCTGTACTGAAGTTGAAAACCTTGGGAGTGAGAGCCATTTCTGTCTCAAAGATCTGTGTGAGGCTCAAGACGTTGACGTGGAGAGAGGAGCTGTGCTGAACAATGTTTTTATGAAACTGAAGTGAGGATCCAGTGATTTAAAAATTTTTTTGTTTGCCACAGCTCTTTATTTCTTAATTCACAATGTAGTCGTGATAAAGGCTTCAAGCGAGGGGGATGGGCACTTCCGAAAAGAGGGTGCTCGTAAGTACAAGATGACAAATGTATGTGTGCAGGAGCAGAATTTAAAAATGAAGAAGAAGAAGCTTGTTACCAGCAGCGGTTAAGTCTGAGTGTCACTACAAGGGCAGAGTATGAATTCATGTGTGTGTGCTCATAGTTTGAATAGGTCCAGGTCCTTCCTTTTTAAATAGACACTCCTTTCACCTTCAGCAAATAGTGTGCCTTCAATCTCGAAGGCCAGACACACGCTGTGCGCTTGTGTAAATGTTGTGGTGGAATGTCGACTCACGCTCACAAAGGGAATGGTTTCATGCTGCACGCTCGAAGTTCATGGCTTATGTGCGCACACGACCTGAGTGGTCACCCCGTGAGTTTAAAGTCGGCACGGAGGACTGACAGCTTCCTTTGAAAAACTCCCACAGACAGAAGTCAGATCTATCTATCTATGTGCATTTCAGTCGTCTTGTAGCGCACTGTCAAACAACGCTCTCACACACACACACACACACTCGTCATCGCTAACATAAAGCAGCGAACTAGCAGGCCAAAATCATTACAAATTTTCCCTTGCAGCTGGTGTCTGCAGCTGTTTCCTGCCAATGGTTCCCCTCACTCATATCTTCTGTGATAGGAGAGGGAAGACACATCATGCAAGGCAGCTGTTGCCATGGCGCTTTCAGATGCTGTCTGCAGTTTTGCGCCGGCGCAATTAGGAAAGTTGGGAAATCGTCCCAGCTTCAAAATCAGTCATGTGACTTAAACATCAGGTCAGAAACGTCCAGAGTGTATTGCCTGTCCAGAGAAGTAAGTGTTTATTCTCGAATACATCTTTCGATTTATTATTTTTATTTCTAATTTTCAAAAACAGGTTGCGCCATCCCGTTATATTCCTCCCTTGTTATTTTATTCCTCTTCATTTCTCGTCTCTTTTTGCTGCGAGTTCTTGTTTTCTCTCCTCTTTTCATCATTTCGCCTTTGAGCCCCGTGTCAAAAAAAAATCGTCCGTTTCTCCACCGAAATGTAAATCAGCTTTTATCCACTGCACCTTTTTGTGACTGCCCTCGTTTTATGTCTGAGTTTTGGCTCTTCATCAACCTTGGATTTGCTCAGTAAAGCTTTTTAATTCCTTTCTTTATCTTTCATTTTCTTTCGCTCTCTCTCTCGCTCTCTCTCTCTCGCTCTCTCTCTCTCTCCCTCCCTCCCTGTTTTTGTGTCTGGTATATTTTTAGATTTCTTTCGCACAGGGTGGTTTTTGTGACCCCCCCCCCCTGCCTTTTCTCCTCCTCTGCTCACCTTCTCCTTTAACCTCATCTCCCTATCATTTCATGTCTCTTTCTCTCCCTCCCCGCCCCCTTCTCTTCTCTTCTCTCATTTGCATCTTCCATCTTTCTGCTTTTCACCTTTACTTTTTTTTTTTTTAACCCTGTCACCTTTATCTCCCCCTCCCACTGTCTGCTAACTCCTCTGTTCTTCCCTCTCTCCCTTGTTGCTTCACCTCCTTGCTCCTTTATTTTTTTCCCTCTCTCTCATCTTCTCTATCCATCCATCTCTGTCTGACCCTTTACTCAGAGAAGAGCGACTAACTGCCAAGGCAATTTAGCCCGATCACAACCCAGTCATAACTCAACATCACATCACCCTCCATTCTTCCTTTTTCCTCCTAGGGCACCTTTTTTTTTTTCAACCTACGTAATAGTTTTGTTTACCCATTTTGTCTTATTCTGCGTTCAAGCACCCTCCATTTGTCTGTCACTTTCCGTGTTTATCCTGTCTGTGGGAATGAGCTTTCTAAAACGTTGAGGAAAACACTGAATTCGTAAAAAGTAAGAGCATGGACAGGTGCTGTGGGTGGGTGTTGGAAGAGAAATCGGTTGAGCACAGTGCTGCTTTAAATTCTTGGGGTGGAAATCTAAAAGGCTCTGGAGCTGAACTGACAAGAGGAGAGGAAAAGGAAGTGAAAGGGGAAGGGGAAGAAAAGGCAGGGAGGGAGGGGGGGGGGTCTTCAGTTCAATTTCATGAGCTTCAATCCATAAAAGATAATATGATAGCACATTGATCGAGTCAGCTCCCCGTTTTCTCTTACTTCCTGCCATTAGAGGTCAGGGTTCAGCCGGATGTGTCTTGCTTATTTAAGAGAATTTAAAGAAACCTTAGTTAAATGAACTGCCAGCTCACACGCTGCTTAATGTGAAGCGTGCCTCTGAAGGACCTGTGATGAGTCTGAAGACAGAACCCTTAATGATTTCATCGTGGCGTCGCCGTGGTTATCTCAGCTTCAGCTTGACATTTGTTTTAAAAGCTTGTGACCAACCAGACAACAACTAGGAATTAAGAAGTATCAAAAGATACCTCAGGATACGAACAAAAAGATCAGGTCTGGACGGTCCTTGATGTTCAACGAGAGACTGAACGTGAATCCACAATCAGCAACCGCTGTAACATCATTTTAGCTTCCCTCCCTTAGCATTACGTCAGAGGAAAACTGGTCACTGTGTGAATGCAGTTAATTATTCAGGAATCATAACAAAAGATGCTATCATATTAAATTGTAGCATACCTAGGGCTCAGAATTCTTTCAGCTTGATCCATGCTTGTGACTAAAAAGTGAGATATCTCATATTCGCGCCGCCTCTTTGCATTTATTTGCCCTGTCTCGTCTTCATGAGAGCGCAACCTGAAGCTACCACGGTACACTTTTGACAGTTTGACGCTCGTATCTGACGACGTTTCCAAAGCAAGAGGCCTTCATCGCGGTCCAAAATCAAATGGGAAAAAAACACAAATATCAGAGAGTATTCATAACACTGTGGCGGAGATTTATGTCCTCCGTGCGAACAGTGGTGGTTTCATAGGCGGTGTTTGACGGGGATGGAAAAGCAGATGGAGTCAGACATGTCGAGCTGAAGAGTGAACGGTTGCAGAGGGGGGAGAAGATAAAGGAGGATGTCTTTGTGTCATGACTTAATTATGAACTGGGGAGAGACGTGCTGGAGTCGTGGACTGAAAGAATGACTTGGACGTGCCAGTTTTCTTACACGAGTGGATTTATTCTGAGTCGCTCTGTACGGACACACACACACACACACACACACACACACACACACACATACAGCAAATTGAAACAATGCTTTTTTCTGTATTAAGAAATTCCTTCCATACCTTTGAGTCATTGAATATTTCTCTTATTAATGCCTCTCCTGCCTCGACCGTTTCTCCGTCAGCCGGTCTGCCTTCCTACCTTCTCTCTCTTTTGTTGTTCTATTTGTTAATCATGAGCACATTACAGCATAAAGTCATAGGCTAAATAAACAATGTGTGTGTGTGTGTGTGTGTGTGTGTGTGTGTGTGTGTGTGTGTGTGTGTGTGTGTGTGTGTGCGTGTGTGTCCAAGAGGGAGAGAGGAAAGAGAAAGAGAGAGACAAAGGAGCTCAGCACGGCCAGTTTATTCTTAGCCTTCCTCTGACCTGCAACTCAGTACAAATAGTCAAAGCCAAGACACAGACGTGTGTGTGTGTGTGTGTGTGTGTGTGTGTGTGTGTGTTTGAGAGTGAATGTGTGTGAGGTCCTCTCCCCTGGCTGCTCATTATAAATTTCTAACAGGTGTCGCCACCTAACTGTGCAGACGCCTGTTCAATTACTTCCTTGCCCTGTGTGTGTGTGTGTGTGTGTGTGTGTGTGTGTGTGTGTGTGTGTGTGAGTGTGCGCGCGTGTGTGTGTGTGTGTGTGTGTGCGTGGCTTCATTTACATAGGGAAACAGTTTTAGAGTACTAATACCTTCAGTATGTCACCTTGTGACTGAGGCTGTACTGTTGTATACAATATCGTACATTGAATTACCTTTTCCTTCACCTCACATACGTTTGTTATTATCATTTTTATTGTTGCTTCATCTGTCGATCTGTCCATCC